GGCCCGGGGCCCCCGGTGGCCGCGCGGGGCAGCGGGGCCTGGTGCCGCAGTCGTGCTGGCGGAGCCGGGGGTTTTCGCCGGGCAGCAGCGCCGCTCTGTCGTGTCCCACAGTCTGGGATCCGCGGCCGGCGCTCGTGTAGCGGGGGCAGCCCCTGGCTGCGGGGAGCGGAGCCGGGGGACTGGGCTCCTGCTTGGAGCTTCGCACTGACCTTCTGTGGCAGCTTGTGTGTCTGCTTCTTCCAAGTCGGGCCCTCCCCGTCCCCGTCCCCTGCTGTGCGCGGCGATAGCGCCGCGTGTCCAGTGCCGCAGGCTTCGCGGGGCAACGGAATTCCGTGGGGGTGCGCGTTCAGTGCCCCCTGCCTCCCCCCCTCCCGAAGCCTTACAGCGCTGCTGCAAAGGGTTGCTCTTTCCTGGCTCTTCCCCATCACTGATAGCCGGCTCTCTCCCTGCTGGGGAGGGTGGGGACCACTGGGCAAGCTAAGTGATTGGCGGGCTTGTCTGGCAGCAGGGGCCCCCTCTGCTGTGGTGAGCGGAGCAGCAGCCCCTGGTCCTGGCTCAGCTGCAGCTCTGCTCCTTGATGGGCTGTCCAGCCAGTCCCTCCCCTCTGAGGTGGGATGCTGGGGGAGCAAGAGAGCTCCCTGTAGTGCCGACATTACCTGGGACACTACAGAGAAGTTTCAGGCAGGAACATTTTTGTAGTGCCACAGGTGGAGTGCACATGTGCACACCTGCTCTTTGTACTACCACTAGGCCACACACAATCCTTCAAACCCAGTGTCTGCCCACAACCTTAGTGGTGTGTTTGCTGATTTCATAGACATTAGGGCTGGAAGGGACCTCAGAAGATCATTGGGTCCAGCCCCCCTGCCCAAGGGGCAGGAAGTCAGCTAGGGCCAAAGGTCCCAGCAGGATAAACATCCACATGTTTCTTGAAAGTGTCCAGGGTAGGTGCTTGCAGCACATCTGGGGGGAGTCTGTTCCAGGCCTTGGGGGTTCAACAGTAAATAAGTTTTTCCTTATGTCCAGCCTAAAACGGTCTTGCAGCAGTTTGTGACTGTTGGACCTTGTCACCTCCTGGGGTGCTCTGGTGAATAGGTGTTCCCCCAGATCCTGATGCACACTCCTGATGTATGTATAGGCTGCTACCAAGTCACCCCTGAGCCTGCGCTTCTTCAGGCTCAGGAGTCCCATAGCTCGCAGCCTCTTTTCATAAGGCCTGTTCTCTTGCCCTCTGATCACGTGTGTGGCTCTCCTCTGGACTCTTTCAAGCTTCTCCACGTCCTTCTTAAATTGTAGAGCCCACAACTGGATGCAGTACTCCAAATGCGGCCTCACCAAGGCCAAGTAGAGCGGGAGGATGACATCCTGGGTCTTGCTTGAGATGCATCGGTAGATGCAAGCTAGTGTTGTTCACTTTGCCAGCTGCAGTATCACACTGGTGGGTCATATTCATCTTGTGGTAAGTCAGGACCTCCAAGTCTCTTTCGGTCATGATGCTAGTGAGGTGTGGTGTTCAGCACTGAACATAATATGTGGTCACTTGCTGAAATTGCACCTTCACATTTTCACAGAAACTGAAAAATGACAGTTTTCGCAATTACGACGAAAAATGGTGTTTGCTGCTATTTCCCACAGAATTGCCAAAAAACAGAAAAAAAACGTTCTAAAAATAAAATGCTGGTTCCCTAGTGGGAGCCACTGTTTCTCACCAGCTGCTGCTGCCTGGCCCAAAAGCCTCCTGGTGCAGGGGAAGGTGCTGTCTAGTGGAGTGGGGATGAAGGGAAGCAGGCAAGACAGTGGCTACCCCCTCATCCGTCTTTCCCTGGTGGGGCTTCTTTGCCAGTCAGTGGTGAGAGGCAAGGCTGCATGAAGAGCAGCCCTCTCTGTCAGTCATCGGGACTGAAGAATTTAGCATGTAAGAAATTCATTTTAGGTTATTTTTAGTTGAAATGTGCTCCTTAGATAGCATGTACTAAAGTTACTGTCCCAAGCATGGGTCCGTTGAGCTGTTGGTCATTTGTAAGCTGAGCATTCATTCTTTGTCCTCCTCAGCTTTAAATGAATCAGTATGATCTAGCTTCTTTATAAGATTTATCTCAGTTTGTATTTAAAAGTAGTTGGTGTAGCTTGTCCTGTTTGCTATTTTATTCACAGATACTGTTCCGAGTGATTACCTTTGGCTTGAATGCATTTACTCTCCGTTACTTATCAAAAGAAATTATTGGCCTAGTGAATGTAAGGTAATAAAGAATAACAGAAATTAATTGTGGTAAAATCCTTTATAATTCTGAAGGCTACTGCTTCCAGTCAGTAGTTTCCAAAACCTCTTTGACTTGCAGGAGTTCTACAGTGAAATGTTTAGTACTGTTTTGAGTGACATAGGAATATTTCTGCCTTTAATATAATGGACCTGTCAATCTACTTACTCACTTTTGAAGTTATTCTCTAGATTCTTATGATTCTATATTGGACATACAAATATTAGGTGCTGGTATTGACAGGTGATAAGTGAGGTTAAATATTTCATTTCCCTCTACTCTTATGGGACCTACCATATTTTTTCCAACATAAGATGAGGAAAAAGCCCATTGTCTTACATTCACATACAAGGAAAGCTCATTAAATAAATTGTCTGTCATTAAATTGCTACCAAAAGTAGTGTGTGCCCAGCAATGGAATCCAATTATAAAGTTGATAAATGCAGCCAACACTGAGCATGACAATAAAGTTCTTGGCTCATATTGGGCAACATGCCGGTGGGAACCTACCACAAGGATAAGTTAGTGTAACCCATCTGAATAAGATATATGGTAGTGCCCATTGTGCTCAGCCCCCCTCAGTGCCCTTTTCCAAGTCATGGTGAGCCACTACATTGAATATATTTTGACTTTCTCTTCACTCCTGCAGCTGAGTTGGACCTTCCTTTCCCATTTCCAAGGAGTTCTGTTTTTTCACCAACATTAAATGTCTGGCAAACATCACTGAATGGGGTCCCAAACAGCTTATGCAGAATCCCTCTGTCACTCCCTCTCTCAGCTTGTCTCATATGATTAGTGTGACCCTGCCCTCCATGAGATGGAGCCAGACCAGGTTGCCCTGCTCGTCATCCATATGTACATTTTTGGAGAATCTTACGACTTGTGACAGGAACACCCATCGTGAATAGGTGTGCCACTAAATAGCACATGGATCCTTTTTTGGGGGTTGTATATGGAGTACACACACATACTGAGCAGTGCTGGGATATGGTATCACCATGGCTTAAAATGCTGTTATTTCTGCTGGGGTCCAACCCAATGAACTATATGGTAAATCATGAGCCTTTTGGCTTTACACTAATGTTATAGTTTGTATTATATACAACTAAGCATAGAAGTGCTGCTTAAAAGTGTACTTTTGAATTACCTCTGCTAAAACTTGCAACAGTTTCAGAAGAGGTAAGCTACATCAGTTCTGGATAAACTAAGTCTATGGGCACCTGTAGTCATTTTCCTATATGCAAGTTAGTGCAGGTATGTTTGTTTTTAGGTCAGTGTTTTCAGATATGATTCTTACTTCTATGGGCTCAGAGAGAACAGGGTCTGATAGTAAAGAAGGGGGTAAGGGCTGCAGGGGAAGAAGTTGTGGGGGCAGAGGGCAAGTGGTCTGTCTGACCCTTGCCCAGTTTAATTTTCTCTGCTGTAGCAGTGGGAGGGGGGAAAGTTCAAGGCAAACCTCCAATAATTAGGTTCTATACCTGGACAATTTTAACAAATTTATAAATTTTCCTTATATTGAATCTGATTATTGGCGGGAATCATCTTTTATTTGAGTAAATATGGTATTTAAATGTTTTCAGGTAAATCTTGGAGTACTGGTTCAAAAAACTAACTATGTTGTATCCTTATATTCTCTTAAATGTTAATAGAAGCTATATATTACACAAGTACAATAAGAATTATTTATTAGTATCTATATTAAACTCTATAGAGTGATACCACTTTTTATCCCGTTGTGGATAAGTAGGTCCACATATTATATATTCTTTTTGGTGAAGACAAGTCTGTTGAAATAAATTCTTACTTCATGTTCACAGCTTTTACAGGCAGTTATACCTAGTAGTTTTATGTAAGCTTTTGGGTTAGTGGAGTGTGGTATTTGTCACCACTCCAAGCATTAGTTTGGATGATACAGATATATTTATTCTTTAGGGAATTTGTGAATATTGATATTAGTACTGTCTCTGGTGTAACTATAGAAGTTGGTACGCACAGGGATCACTTTCTCTCTCTATCCCCTTTCTTTAGGCTAACACTGCTTTATTCTACAACTGTTTTCTTAGCGAGAGAGGCATTTCGCAGAGCTTGCCTAAGTGGAAGTACAAGGAGAAATTGGACCAAAACTATTAATCTGCTGTGGCTAACGTAAGTTGTCCTTTAACTTTTTTGTTTTTCTAGTTAGGGGTGCGCTGATAAAGATATGGGCCGATTTCGATGGCCAATTATTGACCAACCGTGTTGGCTGATGCTGATCCAATTGCTGATATGCAGCCCAGTAGCATGGAGAGCAGTATCTGGCTAGTAAGTCTGTTGTGGGGAAGGGGTGTTGGGGGGGGTGCTGCAGATTGAGACCCCCCACGGTGAGGGAGGGAGTGGGGCTTGGGCAGGGGCAGGCAGTGCTTAGCCAGCATGGGGCAGGGCACAGGACAGAGCTGGAAGCTCATCCAAGGGGCAGGGAGGGAAGGCTATAGCAAATTTTGGGGAGGCTCTAGTCCCCACATAGCCCCACTCTACCAGTGCCACTGCTGCCCACCCCACCCCACCCCACCCAGCCCAAGGAAAGCCGCCGGGAAGAGGCTGGAGTAGCCCCAGCCCTGAGCACAGAGTGAGCAGCCAGCCCTCCTTCTGCGCACAGATCTGAGGGGCACATGCCTCCCCCAGGGGTATGCACAGTAGTGGAAGCCATGCCCCCCCATTCCCTGCCACCCCAGGATGAGCTGCTGCCCCAGCTGGGCAGCATCTGCCCCAGCCCAACTCCCTCCCTCACAGCGGGGACCTCGATCTGCATTCATCAGCTCTCCCAGAGTAACCCCCCCACTGGAGTAGTGGGGTATGTGCAGGAGTACCTGGTTCCAGCGGTGGAAGTGTTGGGGTAGGGGCACAGTGATCTCAGTGATGAGGATTTTTAAATCTGGAAGCATCAGGGGCAGGAGCAGGCATAGGGGGCTTTTAGAGGCATGATGGGTCTTACTTTATTGTGGGGCATGGGGGAGCAAGCTACATCTACAGTGAGGTAGCACCCTGAGTACTGGGAGTAGTAGGTCCCTGGAATGCTTTGAGTGTTGGGAGTAAACTCCCAGTTCACGTATCATGCTTGGGAGCATTTTATCCAACTGGTACCTCCATAGGTTAGCCTTTGGAAATACCTTGAAGGTGTTTCAAAACTGCTCAAATACTGTTTTTCTACACCCACGGGGTTTCATCATCATTAGTATATAGTATGTTATGAAAAGATTTGGTAGGCCTTCCAGTAGTCTTTCCCTTTCTGGGAAAGAATTAAAAAAAAAAAAAAAAAAAAGGATGCGTCTTAGAGAGAGTAAGTATTCCCCTGAAGGGAGGAGATTGTCATTAGTTTCTTATGCGAGGCATTTGAGAACGGCTAAAAAGAATGAAAAAACTTATTAGAGGGATTGAGGGTCATAAAACTTAGACTATGTATAACACATTTGCATAAATCTTTTCATTTTCAAGTTTTAAATATTCTAATTTTAGTATAGTGTCAAGTTAAAACATTTGCTTTCTGAAACAAAGGACTCAGCATGTAATGTTTTCACTGTCTGCTCTGCTTGGAACGAAGTCATTTAGGCCCCCTCTATGTGTGCAAGTAAGGGTGCAATGAGATCTAATGCACAATCCATACAATTGTTCCTCCTGCCATGCCATACATGCATGGCAAGAGGTGTGATTGTGGGATTGTGCATTAGATCCCATCGCGCCTTATTGCCGGTATAGGGGGAGCCTGATGCTGGGCTCCCCCTGCATTGGCAAGAAGCATGCTCCCACATCTGGGAGCTCCCTTTGCTGACAAGGGGAGCATATGCAGCTGGGACTGAGAATCCCCACAACTGATGGGGCTTTCAGTCTTGGCTATGCATGGGGCATAGCCATGACCAAGAGCCCTGTTAGCTGTTGCACGCTCAGCCCTGCAGTTGTGGGATGCTGCTGTGGTCTTCCAGCTGTGGTTGTGTGTGGAGTGCCCTGCAGCTGGGAGATCGCAGCAGCTGTCAGCTGCTGCCTGGAGTGACTCTGTACTCCTACAGCTGGGAGACCACATTGGCTGTGATCTCTCAGCCCTTTGGGGTACATTGTGCTCCCCAGTGGCTGGGAGATCACAGCAGCTATGGTCTTCCACCCACAGGACTGCATACATATGCAAATTAAAGCTGGATAGAATCTAGCAATAAAGTTACGTCACATTTTTGAGTAATAACTTTATAGCTGCTTGGATCTTTTAAGGCACAATAGCTAATTTGCATGAGCAGCCAGTCTAAATTTAACTGCAGTTCAGAAGGTAATTGTGCAATAGATATAACATGAAGAAGGGACTTCAGTCTTTTTTCCTGTTTAGACAACACTATTATTCTGTTTAAAAAAAACTTGTTTAATATTAATTTTCTGTATGTTTTTTTTTTCCCCATCTGCCCCTAAAGAGTTCCTTTGGGGGTGTTTTGGTCTCTCTTCCTGGGCTGGGTCTGGCTGCGGTTGCTTGAAGTACCTGATCCGGATGTAGTTCCTCACTACGAATTTGGAGTAATTGCATTTGGTCTCTCTGCAGTTGTTGAGCTCCTAGGAGAACCATTTTGGGTTTTAGCACAAGCACATTTGTTTGTAAGGCTTAAGGTTAGTAATATAAATGCATATAATGAATGTTTTCTTTTTTTATTTCTACAAGTGGTAAATAAGAAATTACAAAAATATTTTACATGTTCAAATGTGCTACTGCATTTAAAAATAACTTTTGCAGTTTACTACTGTAAAGCTTGATTAAATCAAAATTGTGGATGAACATGAGCAAGAAAAATAATTATGTTAAACTAATATGAAAAGAATAAACCTTTTAAAGCCAACACATGTCAACACATAGATATATTAATGTGTAGGCATGAGCTGACACCAGGCACAAGGTAGAAACATCAGTGTGTCCATTTCTAGCATCTGATGAAAGAAGTCGTTTATGAACACTCATGTATGTCTGAACTCTTTGGACTTTAAAGTCCCACCCTGGCCTGCCTTCTGCCTGCCTTCGGATTAGCATAGCTAACTATCCTTATAAAATAACTTAACTGAGGAAGAAAGTAATAGTTCCATTATGTTTGCATTTTAATTATTTTGGGATATTACCTTTGAAAATGCAGCATTGCAGAAAATGAAGGTTTTTCTTTTGTAGAGCTTTTATTTCTTTACTTCCCCCTTTACCAGGCAACAGTTAAGGAACACTTATTGAGATAATCAAAGGTGGCTCAGGATTTTTTATTACACATTTTTGAAGAAATAAAATCAGAGCTGTGGGGCAAAGTTCTTTTAGCTGTGATAATCTCATATCTAATATGTATTAACATTGTCTACTTCAAGTACAGTTTGAACAGAATGTCAGATCTTTTTGCTGCTGTGAATAATTGTGAATTTTTTTTTAAGGTAATTGCTGAAAGTCTTTCCATATTCTCCAAATGCCTTCTGACAGTCATTTTAGTAGCTCTCCTTCCTCACTGGGGACTTTACATTTTTTCTTTGGCTCAGGTAAGTTTTTAGCCTTCTCTCTTGTAGATTTGTGATTCAAGCAAGCTTCTTTTTGATTCTTGTTCTTGTATTTAGCTTATTGTCTAATCCTGAAAGTACATGGCGAATGTTTTTGGGGGTTATGGAGATATCTGTTGTTTGCTAATATTTGTTTATTGACTTAGCACCATGACCCACTTTGCTTTAAGAGAAGCACATAACACATCATTGCTGCTGTATGTGTATGCGTTCTGCAAATAAGGACATAATGTCATTCTTTTTTTCTAATTTATTCACACAACCTACTGACTGATAGACCTAATCATAGAATTGCCTTGGTATTAATTCTAAGGAATATTACTTTGATTTTATACCAAGGGCAGCAGCAGATTATGTTGTCTTAAAAAGTATGTTGCTTTAACAAACTTTTGTGCTTGCACATTTTCCTTATTCCAAAAAGATTAGATTGCCTAGTGCAGGGGCAGGCAAAACATGGCCTGCAGGCCAGATCCAGCCATTCTATCTGGCCCGTGGAGTCCATCCAAAAAGCAATTATTACTGGCCCATGGCTACCCCTCTGAAGGCCAATGGGAGATGGGCTTTCAGAGGTCGTGTGCCATTGGTGCCGTTTGGCTGGGTGGGCTCCGTGCCTCCACATGCGGCACCCCGCTGGAGTGCTGGAAGCCCCACATGGAGGCATGAATCTGGCCTGGCCTGATGGTGCGAGGCTCCCAACTGCAGTGCCAGGAACCCTAAATGCTGGTGTAGAGACAGCCCAACTTGGTTTGAAGGTGCATGCCAGCTGGCCAAGGTGGGCGGGCTCTGTGCTGCCATGTGCAGCTCACGGGATTCGGCCAGAGCCATCCGCTGCCAAGGGTCTCTGCCTGCTGTGGGACAGGAGTGGCCCAATGGCCTACTGCCTGCTGCTGCCACCAGTGGCAAGGTCTGTGCGCCATGAGGGAAGCCATGTGCTGGGGGCGGGGGCACAGCTGAAATAATTGCCCACCCTTGGCCTAGTGTATGATATATGAAATCTGGAGGCCTTAAGCAAATAATATCATTGGTAATTTGGGGTAAACATGTTTACATTCAACAACTTTAATAACTGTCACTTAATTTTAGAGAGAGCTGTCCAAACTAATAAAACTTTTGTATAGATGAACCTGTCTTTGGTGTTTTGCTGGAATTATGGTAGGGTTTAAACCCCATTATGCTAGGCGTGATACAAATATACTTAAAATACCTGTCCCAAAGACTTCATGATATTTCACAGTTCTTAAAGACTCGGTCATGGCATATTTTGTGGCTTGAATCAGGATTCGCAGTTAACTGTATTCTTCTGTCAAGTACAAGCTTTAGAGTTTAGTTCTAAAGACAGAAGCTGTCCTTTATATTATTTTATTTATTTTTGTATTCTTTTTTCCTGCACAGGGGTTAGTTCCAACTAATGTAGTTGGGGTTTTTTTAGTATGCTTCTTCACAAACTGACTAAAATAAGTTTAGTATTAGTCATTTGATGGATTAATTTTGACTAGCTGGGAATACTTCTGGGAATAATTCTACCTATGTGGATTATACAGTAATGTTTTTTTAATTACAGCTTTTATACACCAGTGTTCTAGTGCTGTGTTATGTAATTTATTTCATGAAGTTTTTGGGTTCTCCTGAAGCAACTAAGAAATCATTTCCAGTTTCTAGAATGACAGCTTTGTTACCCAGTTTGGATGGAGATCACGTAAGTAGCAGATTTTTATATTCAGTCCACCTTGAAGGAAACTTTAAAATTGTCCTGGTTGACTAATGAGACACTGTTGAAGTAATATTCACCTTAATGTGTGTGATTTAAAAGGATATATTTTTAATGTAGAAAAACAACTGGGCAAGAATAAATGCAGTGAATAAATAGTTCTGCTAACGGTACTTTTATTGCTGTTAAATCAAAGCCATCAGTTCAATACGATCAGTTCCGTTTCCCTCTACCCCGCAAGCACTCTTCACAAAAAAGAAATGAAACCTATTACTAAGCTTTTTTGTTGATGTAGAATTGTTCATGGAAACACATTTTTTAGTGTTTTGCATAGTCCTTTGGTTAAAAATGTAGCCAGATGTAACACTAAGTAGAATGTGTATTAGATTTCAACAAAGTTAGTTTCTTTCTAGCTAATATTAACAGAGCCAGTGTGTGGTTTCCTATTAACTTTTTACATGCAAGGTGTACCATACAGTACAAATCTTTCACCACATTTCTCCAGAATTTACTGAAGTCACATAACTTGGAGCGATAAAATGGGGATGGAGAAAGAAATTAAGAGTTACAAGCAGCAAGAAAGATATTTCAGGTGAGGTTTTAGGCAAAAGAAGCATATGTACAGGAAAGTAGTTCCAGGTGGCATAAACTGCAGAGGAGGATTTTCAGATTATGAAATTTGTGTGAGTAGTACTGGGTGGCACCTTAAATTACAAATAGTTTTAGTGATTTCACTGGAACTTGGCTTGAAGTAATGTACTTATGAATGTGAATGATTGCAAAATCTGTGCTGGCTGGCTTGTGGGGTTCCTTGAGGGGCTGGGAATCTGGGGGTGGGATCAGTGACAGAAATATTAAGCCCCACAGCATCCCAACATAGAGGCATAAACACCTCCTAGGGTTAATGTTACTGCCACTTGCTCTGTTGCTGGATCTGGTCTGCGAGGAGCCCTGAAGTCTGGATTTGGTCTTGGGGGACTAAACGAGTTTGACATCTCCAGTTTAAGTGTAAGGCCCTTTGAATTGCTCCAGACAGTGAGAATACAGATGTGTGTGGCTGGAGAAATACTTCAAAAAATGTCCAAAGCACTTTAAAAAGTGATAAATTGGGTAAAGTATTCCATTTCCTTCTTCTCTTCTGGGACCTATTTAAATTTTTCTTGGTAAATCTTGAAGTACTTTAAAAGTGATCTCCAAAATGATGAACAGCATTGAATTGACTGAGCACCACCACTACAAGCTTTCATGTTGATTTTTGAAGGGCTGTAGCAGGGAGGCAGACTTGGGATTTGGGGGGCGTGCATGTCTGTATGGCAGTGAACTGCTTCAAATATCTAGTGTTCTGAACTAGAGTAGCATTTGAATCTACTGTATGTCTGTGGATGACTATAGTAAAGGGTAATAGAAAACCAACCCATCTTTTAGATACTTGATAACATTTGTAGGTATTAATGAGAGCCTATTTCAGTGTTTGGTTATTAGAATTATTTTGAAAATTGTCAGATTTATAGAGAAGCAAAGTAAAGAATTAGTGAGGCTAGTGGGTTTTTGTACTTTTTGGTTCTGTTCCCCTGAAACTGTGAGTAAACCCAATTACATTTCTGAACATTATTGGAATGTCCTTGTATCTGAAGGGTAGAACTTGTGTGACAGCTCTATATTATAATTAAGAAATACTTTAAACATAGCATATGTGGTGGAAAGTGTCCACCATCCTGTGTTAAATAAACTAGAAAATGAGTCCTGTATAGCAGGGTTTCTCAACCAGTGGGACTCATCCCAAAGTTCCTCTAGGTGGGACTCTGGTCACGGTGGTGAAACCTGAAGTGCCACGGCAAGACTTCTGATTTTGCTTTTGCACGCTTTTCTGATTTTGCTTTTGGCCTCCCCTCTCTCCCCGCTCATTGACCAGTGGGACCAGGATCCAGGATTTTTTGACCTTACATGGGTGGGACGTAAGGTACAAAAGGTTGAGAACCAGTGTTGTATAGCATGCTCCCAGGTGCCTGGGGGAAATCAGCAGGAGTGTAAATATGCAAAAAATTTAAATCCTTTTGTATTGTTTGCTATCATAAAAAATATTTGGGATCCCTATTACAGCACAATGTAGTTCTTTTTCCATAAAATATTTTTTGCCTTGGAAATTAACTCCAGCTGTGTGATTGAGATTCCTAGGATTGTATTCCTTGCTTTATTCTTCAGCTTTCTTTTTTAATAGTTATCCCTGTGCTGCCAGATGCCTACATCCTTTCCAGGATCACATGATTTTTGTGAAGTTTATAATTACAATCCATTTGATAAAATCTGTATTCCTCAAAGCCTTCTGTTTTTCAATCCCATTGTCAAATGACACCAGCTGTTTGTAGTGTTGCTGAATCGCAGCTGTTCAGCAATGCTACTTAATATCACATCCTATATTTGCTCATTCCCATCTTTCCATACTCCCCATGTGGTTAGCTAATAGAGAAAAATCAAATTAAATGTTTGTTGTTTTAAAGGGTTGGTACAGGAAGTGAAATTGATGATTTAAAAATATTATGAATAGGATGGGACTGGAACATGCTTTTAAAAGTAAGAACATTACATTTCCCCCATTCAAAATGGATGCTTCCATTATGGTTGGTTAATAGTTTCTGAATCAAATATTTGTATTAATGTGATTCTCTAAGGCAGTGGTTGGCAACATTTTCTGGTAACAGGTTAGCTTGGGTCCAAGACAGGCCAGTACTAGGACCCTACAGCCATTTGTTCTTCCTCCTGTCTGGCTGCAGTGCAGCACAGGGGGAAGCTCCCTGCCATCCAGCTACAGCATGACATGATGTGGGCAAAGCCCCCTGCTGCTAAATGCTGTTGAAACCCCACCTGTCTCTGTGGGCCTGATCCAGGCTGTGGGCAGTTGGTTGCAGACCCCTGTCTTACGGTGTAGACAGATTTGTAACATTTGTATCAATATCAGATGATACCCATATGAGGTGTTAAAACGTAACTTGCATCTTCATGCTTCTGTCCTACTACAAATGAACCTGTTTGGTTCTAGGTTAAAGTGATTTAGTTAATTTGTATTGCTACTGAATGATATGAAATGGTTAAAAATTATCGCTGTCCATAGCCTTAAGTATAAATTGAAGACATAACCACTTCTTTTTGTTCCTTGCTGAAGAAGATAGTTCTATTTAAGTCTTAATTAAACAAACCAGATGAAAAATCTAGTTAGTACCTCTAGAAGTTAGAACATTAATTTACTACTTCTCCAATAAAATTGCTAGATGAATATTAAGTACTTGGTGTAGTGATCTGAAAATTTGCATTCTTGATTCTGTCAGCATTGCTGCTTTCTGCTGCTCAGCAAACTCCCTAGGGCATATTTCTTGTGCTAGTGCTGGTGATCTCACTGGGACTAAAACCTGGAGGTTCCTGGCTAGAGAATCTTCCCCTCTATTCAGGGTCAGACTGATTGCCACAATTGGGATCAAGAATAAGTTTTACCCCATGGTCAAATTGGTGTGAACCGTGCATAGTTTCATAGTTTCTAGGGTCAGAAGGGACCTGAGTAGATCATCTAGTCTGAGCCCCTGCCATGGCAGGAAAGAGTACTCGGGTCAAACGACCCCAGCAAGGTGTACATCTAGCCTCCTCTTAAAGACCCCCAGGGTAGGAACCAGCACCACTTCTCTTGGAAGTTGGTTCCAGATCCAAGCTGCCCTGACCGTGAAGTAGTGCCTTCTGATATCTAGCCTAAACCTACCCTCTGCCAGCTTGTGACCGTTATTCCTGGTCACTCCTGGTAGTGCTGGGGGGAACCGGGACTGACCAGTGCCGCATAGAGGGGGAGGATCACCTCCTTGGACCTGCTTGAGATGCATCTGTGGATGCGTGACCAGGTATGGTTGGCCTTCCTGACTGCATCCCCACACTGCTGGTCCATGTTCATCTTGGAGTCAATGATGACTCCAAGATCCTTTTCTGCCCCTGTACTGACAAGA